ATCTTCTATCTCGGTTTTTTTGTTTCTACGGCTGGCGCACATCCCCGCAGTACCTCGATAGCGGTGCACGTGACAAAATGTATTCCGCACGTGGGTGGAAAAAAGGAGAGGGAATCTTGTCGCTCACCTGCCGGGGCCTGGGGCCTCTGCTGAGTTTGCCAGCACGGCGGGAGGGATGGCGACGGGCAGGGACGCCCAGCCAGGAGCGGGGCCGAGACCCCCACAAACTCAACTCAGTTACCAGAGCGCAGCTGAAGCCAGCCAGGGCCGGAGACCAACCTGAGGCACCAGGCCCCACCCCCCCACCAGCCGTCCAGCTCCAACCCCAGTGCCGCAGGGCACCCTCTCCACCCCTGCCTGACCCCCCCTTTGTGTTTGTCCCCCCCCAGGATGTACACGACAGCAGAGGGCGACCGCGTGACCCCGTCCCCGCCCGACGCCACCAGCTGCCAGCAGCTCCTACCCGGCAGCCGCTTCCCGTCCTTCCTGCACGAGCAGTACCCGCTGCCCCAGAGCCGCTACTACAACGGGGAACCGCTGCAGCACAAGGAGCACCCCCGCTGGTACTTCGCCTCCCAGCAGCCCCCCGCCGCCCCCCTGGATTACGGCGCCTACGAGGGCAGCTACGGCGGGAACAAGTACATGCCCTTCGGCGTGAAGGCCTTCCCCCTGCCGGCCTCGCCCCACGCCACCCTGCCCTACTACCAGGAGCCCCACCCCTTCGGCTCGCCGCCCGCCGCCTGGCAGCCGCCCGCCAAACCCAGCCCCGGGGCGCTGGGCTGGTTCCGGCCCGTGCGGGACATCCGGCCCCTGCCCGCCGGCGAGGAGAAGGGGAAGGACGCGGAGGGCTGGGCCGAGCCGGCCTCGGTCAAGTCGGTGGACTCCTCGGACTCGGGGCTCTTCGAGGCGGAGTGCAAGCGGCGCAGGGTGTCGCCCTACGCCTCCAGCGCCGAGAGCTCGCCCCCCGCCCGCAACGGGGACCTGTACGACAAGGACGGGGGCGCCGACCCCGGCTACTACGGCTTCTACGGCAACTGAGGGGGGCGGGGAGGGAGCGTTTTCCTGGTGCTGAGGGGCTGGAGCTCCCCTGCCCCCCAAATCATATCAGGTGTCCCCAGGGAAAGGGCGCGACGGGGGGCGGTTGCTGCAGACAGGCGCAGCAGAGAAGGTGAAGGAGGGGGGTGGTGAAGCGTCTCTGGGTGACTTGCCCCCCTCTGACCTCCCGGTGCATAGTTCAAGCCCTGCCCACACAAATGTTACTGTTTGCTGGCGGGGGGTCGGTGGGTGAGTGAGTGTGTGCCCGAACTCAGTGTGTGCCAGGCTGGGCCCTGCTGGCCCGTGTTTATGCAGCAGCACATGTGCACACGCCCTCGTGCGCCTGTGTGTGTAGTCGCGCACGCGGGGGAGGGGGCAGCCCCAGAGGTGCTCACACCCATGTGCATTTACACACTGGTCCATACCCCAGTCACGCACGAGCACATGGCCACATAGTGCTGCACGCGCCTGTTCCCCCGCATCGGTCGCACGTACACAGGGGGGGGGGGGCCCACGCCTGTGTGCCCATGCGTGCTTCTGCACGGGTGGCCTGACACGCTCCCCTCTATTAAATTAGGCAAACAACCAACAAGGGCACCCTCCCCCCCAAAGCACCAACAATGCAGTTACCCTGCAGCCAGCGACCCGCCAAGGCTGCAGGCCTGGCCTGACCCTGCTTATCACTGATGCCCTGAGCGCCTGTCTTGCCATCCCCAGGCCAGGGTGGGCTGGGCACAGGGGCACGTTTTGTTTACCCCCCACCCCCGTTGCTCAGTGCTGCCCTCCGGTGGCAACCAGTGGTGGCGGGAGCACCCTCCTAGCAGCCTCATTTCCCCCCATTGCAGCAGGCACCTTCTGACCCCCCACTTCTCCCCAAGCGTGCAGAGGGTTCGGCCGTGACGGGGGCCTGGCCCGTGCCCAGCGCAGCCCCCTGCAGGAAGGCGCCAAACCACATGGGTGGCCTCGGCTGCTCCCCTGTGGCTCTGCTGGGTCTGGCGGTGGGCGGGGAGGCCATGCTTGGGGGGCGGAGGGGGCGGGGATGAGTTTTGCACCAACCTTACCCCAGCCACCGGCAGTGACCCCGGGCTGGCCCCTGCCCTCAGCTCAGGGGAGCAACTAAAGCAAAGTGGGGGGGGGGGGAAGGGGTGGTGCCCTGCCTGACAGGCCCTGGAGACTGGAAGGCTCTGCCCCCCCCCCCCAAAGTAAGAGCCCTCAGCCCCCTCCCCGTCTGGCCTGTGTCTTCACCTCACCTCAGGGGCGCCTGGGGTCCCCCAGCTCACGGGGCAGAGCCCCCCGCTGGCCCCACGGGCACTACGAACCAGCCGTGCAAGGGGGCAGGAGCAGACTGGTTCACTGAGGCCGGCCTACGTTGACAGTAGGGGCACTGCCAGTTTGGGGGGGCATCCCCCCCCCCACATCCCACCTTCTGAGCCCTCCAGCTCCAACTTGGCACTGTGGGGAGGGGGGATGTTGCCTTTCACCCCCAGTCGGCCTAGCCTAGCCCCCCCCCCGTCCCGTCCCGTCCCTCGGCTGTGGGCAGCCCCTGTGCGCGTGAGTTTGGGTTTGTGGCGTCCACAAGGGAAGGAAAGGCGAACGCCTGCCGCTGAACGTAAGCCCTGGACTTACGGCTCTGCCCATCAGGCCCGCTGCTGAGGCCCTGACGGTGGTGCTCCTTGGGCGGGGGCCTGCCAGAGACAGTTCTGGGGGCTGTCTGAGCTGCCCCATGCGGGGGGGGGTCGTTGGAGGGTAAAGGCGCCCCATTCTAACACAGCGGCATTGCCCCGAGCAGTTTAGCCAGGCCAGAAAGCAGGGCACCCACCCAGCATGTGCAGCTCAGAACGCCGCCGGCTCCCTGACCCCTCTCTCCACGCGCACTGGGTGGCCTGAAGAGGCGGATGGGTGCTGCCCCCCAAGCGGCTAACTCCAGCCTTGCTTTGCAAAGCCATTGGGGGTGGGGGGTGGGGGGAGGCATCAGCCAGAAACATTCATGGATCTTGCAGCATTTCAGAGCAGGGCAGGGCAGCCTGGTGCTCCCTCCACACGGCTCGTCCCCGCGCCCAGCAGGGCGGCGCATGGGTGAAGCCGGGCGATTCCCCCAGCCGCTGGGCTCTGCCCTGCGCGAACCAGCCCCCCCTTTGCACCCCAGCTCCTGGCCTTCTGGGGGGCTCTGCTCGCCAGTGCCCAACCAGCAGGGAGCCTACCCCACAAAACCCTCCACCACTCAGCTACGCACCTAACGATTTGGGGGTGGGGTTAGTTACACGTTAAATGTTATTTTTCTCTCCCCCTCCCACCCTTGGGGCATGCCCCTGGACCTGCAATATTTGAAGCCTGTAGCCTGGGAACACTGGAGGTGGATTTATTCAGCCAGACAATCAGAGGACGGTGCCAGCCTGTTAGCAGCGGGCCCGGCCCTCCTTGCAGCCCACCACCCTGGGCTGCCCCCACTGCGGGCACAGGCCAGCGCCAGCCCTGCCACGCTCGCCCAAACTGTTTACACGCCGCCACGCGTAGGCGGCGAAACGTGCGGGTCTGTTCCGGGCCGGGGGGGGGGGGTTGGTTGTTTTTTAAGAAAAAATCTTTACTTTTGAAAATATTTATTGACCCATGTACAGATTCTACACGTTCACCGTGGTTTGTTTTTTGCTTAAGACTTTCTTTAAATAAATTGTAAAGCTGTGGCGCCCGCGCTGTGTCTGTGTGAGCACCAGAGACGCGGACGCACCGCACGCTCAGGAGGGGGTGGATGTGTTGGGGGGGGGGGCGGGGAGCTGAGCCTGGCTTGATGGGACCAGGTGCCACGCCAGCCAGGCGTATGCTGAGTACCATACGGTGGCGGGCGGGGGGTTGTGTATGTGTGTTGAGCATATCTGGATGCAATGGATGCATGTAGTCACATGTACTTGTGTGTATGTGTAGTATGGCTTGTGAGTGTGAGCATAGCTGTGTGTGTGAGAATAGTGAGTGTCCAGGCGTGTGTGTGTGTGATTTGCAGCGAGCATGTGAGAGAGAGAGAGACACACACAGCCATAAGGTGTGTGCAACCCCAGCTGTGCGTGAGCGGAGCACGTGGGTGCACTGAGCAGGCAGACGTGCAGGCCTGTGCCTAGCAAGTGTGCAGGGCGTGAGCGTGAGCATCCAGGTGAGGGGGGTGCAATGCGTGCATTTGCACACCTGCACTAGTGTGTGTGCTGAGGGGGGGGTTGGTACAAGCATCTGTGTCGCTGCATGAGCGCCTATGGGTGGGGCTGTATATTCAGGGCCTGCGGCTGAGCTCATGGAGCCGAGCGGGTGCGTGCGTATGATGCGCAGGAGGTGAGCGCAAGCGCGCAAGAGCCGGCGGGTGGTGAATCTAGGGCTGTGACTGCGGGAGGAGAAGCAACCCAGCGACCTGGGTGAAGCGAGCTGATCACTGCTCAGAGCAGGGCAGGGAGCCTGCAGCCCCCGAGGATGGATGGGCCCCATCCCAGGCAGCAGCCTTGGGGGGAAGGGGGGGGTCACACCCCACACGGGTATGTTAGTCCCTCCCAGCACCAACCTGTTCAGCAGGCCTGGCCCAATACTCAGGGTGGCAGCAGCTCGCCTGGCCCCAATCCCTTGTGCTCATGCACTGACGGGTGGCTGCTGGGCGTGCACCAGGAAACCTGCCTGGCTCCTGCACCTTCCAGCTGGGGCTCTCCAAGCACTTCACACCAGTGAATTACCTCTAGGCAGCCTGGTGAGGAAACTTTGGCAGAGACAAGTGACTTGTATCCAGAGGCAAAATGGGGACCAGAACCCAGGAGACCTCACTTCGACTACCCCCCCCTTCCTTCAACTAACCCCTGGCCCCCACTCTCCTCTCGCAGCTGGGACCAGAACCCAGGCGTCCTGGCTGTCAGCCCCTCTGCTCTAACCCCTAGGCCACATGAATGAAGCCGCCTGCTCTCGATAAGACGTGTCTGAAACCACTGTGGTGCAAGAACCCCATAGACAGGAGCCCGTGGGTGGGCTGGAGGGGACCTGGTTTGCAGAGAGGAAGAACCTCCCCCCAAGTAGGGTGGGGGAGAGGAAAGGTGGGGGCAGGGGGGGGATGGTGAAGGAGACTCTCCACTCAGGCTCTTCCGGATGCTTTATTAGAGGGGTGGAATGTTTGATCAAACAAAAGGCCAAACCCAGCCCGACAGGGCCTGGAGGGAGGGCGCGAGGTCTGCCCGCCTGCAGGCGACCCCAAGCCACACGGGGGATCCCTGCCCCCCATGCTGGCAGGTGAGGGAAGCTCCACGGTGCCCCCTATGGGTAACTGAGGGGAGCACTCCAGCAGCTCCTGCTCAGGACACCCCCCGAAGCATCAGAGCCCAAGGGGTCCTTTCTGAACCTGCACCCCGCGGCCTCCCAAAAACGGGAGAGAAAAGGGCTGCCTCCGGCCCTGAGCAGATTCGGGGGCCCAAGGGGAACAACTCCCAGCTCCGCAGCAGAGAACACGCCAGCACCGGAACAGAGGGGTGCCCGAGGGCGCTACAGCCAGTCCTTAACGCCCACGTCCTGCCCCTCACCCATCCGTACAGCCCTGGGCGAGCCAGGAACTGAACCCTCCCCACTCTCCTCACCTCTAACCACTAGACTCCACTCCCGGCCTGGAGCTGGGAATGGAACCCAGGAGTCCTGGCTCCAACCATTAGGTAACACAGCTGCTCAGGTCATTGCCTGGATGCTCCCAGCTCCAAGGCTGGGGCTATGCTGAGGAATGGCTTTTCCCTGCAGGAAGATCCGGGCCCCTGCTATGCAGACCGTCCCATCTTCTGCTGTTCACTCGCCCCCTGGATCCAGGCCCCTCTGCACAGTTTTGTGAAATTAATACAAAGCATTTGAAAAATCAAAGCTTCCCCCCCCACCCCCCAGATCACGGTGCCCCCCCGTGGGGGGGGAAGGCAGAAGTAAGTGCATCGGGTTGGCACCCCCAGCAGTCCTCGAGGTGCCAGCGGGCGCAGGCTGCCCGGCCAGCAGACAGCAGCGATGGGGATGGGATGGGAGCAGGGTGGACCCGGGAAGGGCCAGGACACCTTTCACCCGCGGCATCTTCACCCTGTCCACTGGGGGGCACTGCCCAGCGCTGTGGTGCCCCCAGACCCTGCCCACTAGTCCCTACGTGCCTGGGAGGCAGGGGCCCAGAGAGCTGGGCAGGGCGGCCCCCGGAGGCCGCTGCTACCACAGCACGGGGCTGTCGAGGTTGGCGTAGCCGGGCTCCGCCCGCAGCTTCCAGTAGGTGTCGTTGCTGAGCCAGGACTCCTTGCCGCCGGGGTCCGTCTGCTGCCTGCCGGGGAGAGGGGAGGGGGAAAGGACGTGGTCAGACACAGGGAGTCCAGGGGGCGCCCCAGAGAGCCGGGCAAACAACCGCGGACCGGGCCTTGCGATTAACCTGGGCCCAGCGTCCAGGCCCAAACCCCAACTCGCTCCCCCCCAAATATCCCAGGGGCTCCTCAGCTTCCCCCCCCATTTCTGAGGCTCAGGCCCCTCCCAGACCCCAGTTTCCTGCGATCACATTGTGGCTTTGGCATAAGCCAGGACCCGGGGGTCCCACAACCCCCCGGAGCGGCGCCCAGCCCCCTAAGGTCTCCTCCTCAGAGCGGGGCAGGGAGGGGGCTCCCAGGAGCCGGGCAGGCAGCCGGTACCTGAAGAAACGCGCCTGGTGGAAGATGTTGTTATCCTCCATGACCCTGCGCCGGTCTCTCTGCAGCTGCTCGATCCGGCGCTTCTGGGACTCTGCCGCCTGCACGTTGCCTTCCTCCAGATACCTGGGGGGGGGATCACTCCTGCAATGAGCTGTGGGGTCTCAGCTATACCCCTCTATCACCCCCCCCCCCAGGAGCTGCGCGAGGGCCAGCGGGTCAGAAGAGGGGGGCCACTCACCGCTGGTCGGGGCGCAGCCGCGTGTCCGTGGAGGGCAGGAAACGCTTGAGCTCCGGCGTCAGCTCGTTCAGCTCCAGGGCGAACTGCGTGAAGCCGTAGTTCTTCTCGAGCTCTCGGGGCATGGGGTCTGCGGGGGGGGGGGGGGGGTACACAGATCCGACCTCTGAGCACCCCTCCCAGTCCAAGCCCCCACCCTCGGATAGCACCCGCCCCCTCTGCAGGGGGCGGTTTCCCAGTCCCCTATGGAGAGCCGGCCCCTATGGGGTGGGGGTGGGGTCTATCCCTGCAGGGGGCGGTTTCCCAGTCCCCTATGGAGAGCCGGCCCCTATGGGGTGGGGGTGGGGTCT